GCCCAGGATCGGACATTGTTTCGTTCTGCTGTGCATGGGGTCGCTATGAGTCGTTTCCGACTTGATGGCACCTGACAACAACAACTGGGTCACCTCTTTGTAATGGAGTCTTTTCCAATCAGTTAAAAGGTAGCTGTTCAAATTTCTTGGCATAGATGAGTACCTAAAGTGCTGCATCACTCTGTTGAGAGATTTCAATTTGTATTCCATCAATTCCCATAGCCTTACTCTTTATTAATGCCTTCAGAATACATTCGACTTCTTCATTCAGTCCTTATGGCTTATGATCATATGCTACCTCTTGAAATGGTTGAACTTCACCTCTTTCTTTTTGGTACAGTGATCGTGTATTCTTTCCATATTCTTTTGATGTTTTTTGCATCATTCAATATTTTGCCCACAGATTCCTTCAGTGTGTAAGTCAAACCTCTATTTTTTCCTAAGTTCTTTCAGCTTGAGAAATGCTGACTGTGTTCTTCCCTTTGGTTTTCTCACTCCAGGTCTTTGCACATTTCATTATAATATTTGACTTTTTCTTCTCATACTGCTCTTTGAAATTTTCTATTCAGCTCTTTTCTACTCATTTCTTCCATTTGCTTTAGCATCTCTACACTGGGAAGCAAGTTTCAGAGTCTCTTCTGACATTCATTTTGGACTTTTCTTTCTTTATTGACTGCTTAATGACTTTTTGCTTTCTTCCTGTATGACGTTCTTGATGTTATCCCACAACTCTTCTGGTCTTTGGTCTTTAGTGTCTAAAACATCAAATCTGCTCTTCAGATGATCTCTTGAATTTAGGTGGTATATGTGCAAGATCATATTTTGGCTCATGCGGACTTGTTTTACTTTTGTTCAGCTTCAGCCTGAATTTGCATGTGAACAATTGATGGTCTACTCCACAGTCTGCCCCGGCCCCGTTTTGACTGATGATCTGGAGCTTTTTCCACAGTTTCCTTCCCCAGGTGTAGTCAATTTGAGTTCTGTGTATTCCATCTCATGGGGTACATGTTTATAATCATGTTTTATATTGTTTAAAAAAGGTATTTGTAATGAAGAAGTCATTGGTCTTGCAAAATTCTATCATGCAATCTCCAGCATCCTTTCTATCACCAAGGCCATATTTTCCAAAGACGGATTCTTCCTCCTTGTTTACAACCTTTGTATTTCAACCACCAATAATAAATTATCAAGATATCTTGATGGCATGTTTGATCAATTTCAGACTGAAGGAGCTGGCAGAATTCTTCAATTTCATCATCTCTGACTTTAGTGGTTGGTCATAAGTTTGAATAATAGTGATATTAACTGGTTGTTCTTGTAGGTGTATGGATATTATCCTATCATAGACAGCACTGTACTTCAATATATATCTTGGAATGTTCTTTTTGATGATGAATGTGATGCACTTCCTCTTTGTCATTCCCAGCATAGTAAAGCATGTGATTGTCAGATTCAAAATTGCCAATATCAGTACATTTCAGCTCACCAATGCCTAGTATATCAATGTTTATGCATTCCGTTTCATTTTTGACAAGTTACCATTTTCCTAAATTCATACTTTTTACATTCCATGTTCTGATAATTTATGGAGGCTTGCAGCTATTTCTCCTCATTTTGAGTTGTGCCCCATCAGCAAATGACGGTGTAGAAAGCTTTACTCCATTACTGTCATCAGAGTCAGCTCTATTTTGAGGAGGCAGCTCTTCCCCAGTTGTATTTTGAGCAACTTCCAACCTGAGGGGCTCATCTTCTGGCACTATATCAGGTGCTAGCTGACAGTGTTCCACTGCTATTCATAAGGTTTTCAGTGACTATAAATATTTGGAAGTAGTCAGCTTGTGCTGGTAATGAGGATTAGATGAGTCATCTACTTCAGAGGCTTGTTCTAGGCCATGACCATTGAAAAGCGCATCTGTGGGACAAGTGGCCGACCTGATATTATGATGGCAATGTTATAGGGCTTTCTGTATTTAACAAAGGTAAAAACCTATAAAGCAAAACCAAAATGATTGTCTACCTTCAAGGAAGACACTAATGATTGTGAACTTCATATTAAACAACTAAACTAAAAGATCTAGAAACATGACAGAGAGAAAAAAGCGAGCGAGAGCAAGCATCAAGTGACAATGCTCAAGTCTTAAATATTACTTGGTATTGTTTTTTTTTTTACCTGTGGCACGAACTGCATTTAGGATGGTCTCTCGATATGCCACCTGGAGAGGCCCTAGATACGTCTCAAGTCCATACTCCCTCTTGATTCGGTCATGAATAATCTCAATGTGCAACTCCCCCATACCACACAGAATAGTCTGGTTAAGAGAGGAAGAAAAAAAAAAAGGAAAAATACATTTATCATAAAATATTATGTAAAAAAGTACAATGATAATATATATTTACACTGTTGTTGTTAAATGCCGTCGAGTCAATTCCAACCCATAGCGTCCCTGTATAGGGTTTCCAAGGAGCAGCTGGTGAGCTTGAACCACCGACCTTGCAGTTGAAAACAACTTTGCAGTCTGACGCATTAGCCCACAGAGCCACACATTACTTTTCATTAATTACAATCAGTCTCTTGGCAATTTCTTCTCTTACATCTAAATATTGTTTTTTATTTTTCATTAGACGAAGAAATTCACACAAAGTAAATTACTTGGTATAGGACAGCTAGTCTTCAATGACAAGGCTAAAAACAGCAAATTGTTTGGGGGAAAAGTTACAGAGTACTACAGATAGAATAACTTGTTAAAATGTATCTATATTTAGAGAAAACATCGGGAATGCCATTACCAAGTTTCACAGTGGCTAAATATGTAGAATAGAGTTCTGGAGTGGAACTGTGGGTTAATGCACTGGACTGCAAAGTTGGTATGAATCACAAGGTTGGTGGTTTAAACTCACCAGTCACTCCTGTACAGGGTCACTATGGTTTGGAATCAACTCGACAGCACTTAACAACAACATATGTGTAGAAGAGGAGAAACAAGCAGAAAGGAAAACTTTAATTTTTTATTTTATACACTTGTAGTTATTTACATTTTAAAAATAATCATATGATTGTCGTTTTTTAAAGTATACGTTTCTTGTTGTTATAGTTTTTAGGGTCAATTAAACTAAATTACTACCTCATTCATCTGGCATTCTGGAAAATAACATATTGTATGTTTTCCAGATTCAACTACCTTACAAAGACAAAAATTACCATTTAAAAAAAGTATTAATTTTGAGTTTTGTTCCACATACTCTACTACTCTACCCGGGACCTTCTAATGTAATCCCTGTCAGAGCAGTTTATAGTGATAAGTCAGGCACCATTTAGTTCTTCTGATCTCAGTCATGGAGACTGATGTTTGCATGCTCCATTATTCCAGTGGACTAATTGACTTCAAGCCTCTTCAATTCTCATAACTCTTCTTTCTTCTGTACATGGAGACTAGTATTTGCACCGTACATGGCTGCTCATGAGTTTTTAAGATCCCAGAAGCTACTCACCAGTAGATGTATAACAATGTCTTTGTGGACTTTGTGCCAATTGATCACGGTATCCACTGAGACTATGGTCCTGAGACACCAGGCCCAGCAACTCATTGTCTTATGGTGTTTCATAATAAAAATTACAAGTTTTAAAATAAACCCTTCTTAAAATGTTATATAAATTTCACCCATCTTCATAAAAACACAATATGGAATGTAATTTGACCTTTCATTGATAATCAAGAACATCCATCCTTCTACTATACAATGCAGCTTCATCTATGAGGCTGAAAACCTGGGGAATTGTTTATATAAATGATATATAATTATATCAGGATTGCAAGGGATCTGTAGGATAGACCCTGGATTATAAACCACAAGGTTGGAGGTTCAGGTCTATCATCCGCTCCTCCAAACAAAGATGAGGCTTTCTGCGCCTATAAAAATGTATAGCCTTGGAAACCCTATACAGGGTTGCTATGAGTCAGATTCAACTTGTTGGCACTTAACAACAGTTTTATTAAGAAATTTAGGATAATTTATTTATTTGACAGTTGGCATAAATAATTGGAAATATACGTTACAAAAGAACCTAAAAAGAAAGTTTTTCTTTCAGTGGGATAGATCAGTCAGTGTTTTAGGTGATGGTTAAGGCTGTTTGTCAACTTGGCTAGGCCATGATCCTCAGTGGTTTGGCAGTTACATGATGTGATCATTAGTCATTTTGTGATCTGGTATGATCATCCCCCATTTTGTGATGCGTTGTGAGCAGTCAATCAGATGAAAGGGAAGTTTCTTTGTGGGTGTGGCCTGCATCCAATACATATGGATGTTCTGACAAAACTCACTCACTCTTGATCCCACATTCAGCTTGTCATCCTCTTACCTCTAGATTTTGGAAGACCAGCTTCTACAGCCATGAGCTAGTAGCCTGCTATCTGACCAGGTAATTTTGGATTGCCCCTGCAACCACACGACAGGAGAAACCTCCAGCCTGATGTCTGTTCCACAGGTTTAGCACTTGCCAGCCTCCACAACTGCATAAGTCATATTGTTGTTGTTGCTACGTGCTGTCAAGTCGGTTCTGACACGTGGCACAACTATGCACAACAGAATGCAACTTTGCTTGGTTCTGTACCATCCTCACAATTGTTGTTACACTTGAGCCCACTGCAGCCACCAATGTGTCAACACATCTTGTTGGGGTCTTCCTAAGTACAGTGACTCTCTACTTTACCAAACATGATGTTCTACTGCAGAACTGGTCCCTTCTGAAAATATGTCTAAAGTACAAGAGATAAAGTCTCAGCATCCTGGCTCCTAAGGAGCATTCTGGCCATACTTCTTCCAACACAGATTTGTTTGTTCTTCTAGCATTCTTTTAATTGTACTTTTAATAGTCTTTTCCAACACATAACTCAAATGCATCAATTCTTCTTATGGTCTTTTTATTCACTGTCCAACTTTCGCCTGCATGAAGCTACTGAAAATATGATGTATGCTTGAAATAAATTTCTCCATATATATATATTTGACGCACTGGTTTTGCTCCTCAAGAGAACCCAGCCTAAGACATGCACACACATACACACAGACACACACAGACACACACACACAATAAACGCTTTACTGAAAGGCTTCTGAGATTAAGGAATAAACCTACTTGTCCAGAGTCAGGATCTAGCTTCACTTTCAAACTGGGATCTTCACGCTGAAGGCACTTTAATGCATGATCCAAATCTATGGGATAAACAACTATTATCTTGACATTTAATGTTTTAGTTAACTTAGCAAATCACTCACTCTTTCAAAAAACACCTGAGTGCCCTTTCTAAGTGCTGGGAATATAGTGAACAAGCAAACAAAATTTGAAAAAGAAATTTTTCTACCAGCTATATAAATGCTTTAAAGAGAATAAAGCAAAGTGATACGACAGTGGTAAGAGGCTGCTTGAGACTGGGTGATCTGGGAAGTCCTCTCTAGAATGATTTAGGTAAAGACACACAATAAAGAAGAACCTACAAGTAAAATTCTGAAGAAAAGCAAAAGCATTCCAGGTACAGGGAATGGCTGTGCAAGGAACACCATCCTACTGTGAAAGCAGTCAGAAGGCTAACATGGCTGGAGGCCAGTGGACAAGGAAAAGGGTGAAGAGGGATCACATTCTGTAAGGTCTTGTAGGCCAGCATGAGGAGTCAGAAGTCACAATGCGAAGCCAATGGAAGGCTTTAAGCTTTAAGCTACATGATTTGATTATGTTTTGCAAAGATCACTCTAGGAGCTCACACAATAGCAAAACACCTTCAGAAATACAGGCAGTAATGAGAAACTGGGATGCTAAAAATCAGTGAGAGAAAATAAGACTACATTATTTGCATTACATATACTGTGTAAATTAAAGTGACTCTTTAATATAATCAATTAACTATTAAGTATACTCTCCCTCTTTATGAAAGTAAAAGTGTTAGAAGTTCTATAAAGCATAGCTCAAGAAAGGAGGTAAGCAATCAACTAATGAGCTATCCTTATCAGTCACACACTCTGAATGTTCTTAGGTCTATAAAGCAGGTCCCCTAGACATGTGGCTCTCCAATATGACTGCCACAAGTCTAACCGGAGCCCTGGTATGGCACTACAGTTTCAGTACCAGCTGATCCTTGGAAATCCTATACAGGGCTTATTATGAGTTGGAACAGACTCAATAACACCAACAATAGTCTTGTAACTCATAAACTGTAGTTGTTATTACTGGTTTGAACGAAGATGATCTGTATGTGTAAAATACATACCATGTTTCAAAGTCTTAATGGAAACATGAATGTAAAATATCTCATTAATAACTTTTTACATGTTAAAAAGCATTCTCAGACCATAATGCATTCAACTACTAGTCAAAAGGTTGGGTGTTTGAACTCAGTAGAGATGCCTTAGAAGACACACCTAGCAATCTGCTTCGAAAGGTCAGAAGCTTGAAACTCCTATGGAGCAGTTCTACTCTGTGCATGTGGGGCCGAGACGAGTCAGAATAGACTCAACAGCAACAGCACACTGTGAAGTGGTATTTTTAGTAGCAGCTGGGTAGGTTAACCATCTGTACCACATAGGGACTCCTCAAAGAGTTTGCTGGGGTGAAAACATTTACAGCATTACAATATAGGGTGCCAAGCACCTGTACTGTAATAGAAGCATGGGACAAGTACAATAGAAGCACAGAAAAAGGAACAAATCACTCTGCTTAAAAGACTAAGTAAGAGATCAATTCCTGGGAAGTCCTCTTTTCTAAGTCTACCAAGATAATTTCCACTAATGAGGCTAATTATTCCCTCTAGGTAAAGGCTGAGGCCTTGAATCTACAATTAGTTGGTACAACAAATTGCAGTATCACAATTTGAATTTAGGTGTCCACACGATGCTTGAAGTATAAGTATAAACCTGACTTTCATATAGAATTCAAAGAACTTGTAGAGTGTTTGTTTGGGCAGTCTCTGCCCTTTAGTGTTTGGCTACTTTTGATTCATTCTGGGAAGCCACTGGCAAATTTTACGTGGGACAATAACGTAATTGTTATTGTCTGGCTTGCTCAGTCAACCTGGATGTAACTGGGCAGCCAGACTCATGTCACCGGGTCCTCCTCCATCACACTCAGGACTACAGCAAACTGATCGCAGGACGTGGTGAGGCAACAAGAAAACTGCTACAACGCCCATTTTAACTTACACACTGTTCCTCTGACAATTGGACAAGATACAGCTTCTTTTAGTACTTGGGGGCTCTGTTATATGTGCATCAGATTTCTTTCATGCTAGCATTCAGTGAACCCCACTGGGAGTGGTGAGGAAATGGACCCCTACTTGGCTAGGGATCTTCCTCTTTCTTTCCCACTGGGTCTTCAGGAAGACATGGGGAGCAATAAAGATTTTATTTTTATCCATATTCTGAGTCCCATTTGCTTTCAAGGAGAAAAATGGTTCCTAACTCCACTGCTGTGGTGCTGTAGGATAAGTACTAGATTGCTAACCACAAGGTTGGCGGTCTATACCCACCAGTTGCTCCTTGGAAGCCCTCTCTAAACAGGGTTGCTATGAGTTGGAAGCAACTCGACAGCACTTAACACCAACAACAACACTGGTAAAACTAAAAGGTTTGCAAAAATCAGTTTGAACCACAATGTTTGTTGTTCAAGCTCACGAGCCGCTCCTCAGAAACCCTATACAGGGACACTATGAATAGAAAACAACAGAGCTCTGGCAGCATAGTGATTACGAATCGGGCTGTGAACCACAAGGTCAGCAGTTCGAAACTACCAGTGGTTCCGCGGCAGAAAGATGAGGCTTTCTGCTCCCGTAAAGATTTACAGCCACGGAAACCCTGTACAGGGTCACTATGGGTCGGAACCAACTCAACGGCACTTAACAACAACAACAATGAATAGAAAATGACTCTACAACACTTAAAAACAACAACAGTGACATATACCATATGAAGAAGTTTGGTTTTGTCCTGTTAGTACTGAGAAACCACTGAAGAATTCTGAGCTAATATGTTAAAGAATAAAGCATGTAATACTCAAAAGATCAAATGTCAGTAGCCATTGTTTATAAATATCTTCTCTGAGTTCTAGAGTTGAGCTAGAAGAATATAAATGGTGTTGAGGAACTGAAGTGGTTATGATATCACTTACTGTCCAGTCTACTGTCATGGAAGGGTGGTCCTGGGACCAGTTACTTAAATCCTACAGATAGTTCCACAACAGTAAGAGGAAAGAGGAAGATTAGGTGAGAAAAAATGGTCAAGATATCAATAAATAAATAAATGAAAGGAGTCTGTAAATTTAGAAATCTGAACTAAACTAGATCAACCACAAGAAACGCTTACCCATTAATTCAGATAACATTTAACTCAATAACATCACACATCTTTTACAGTAATAGTGTAACTGTGCTAAACAGATTATGGGGACACTGATGAACTGATAGACCAATATTATTTGTACCTGGCTGCTTAGCCATTGAAGGGGGTTCTATGGTGCAGAAGAAAACGGGCTCTGGGATCTCTACCCCCGCCAGTAGCAGGCTCTCTGCCCCATCCCTGTGTCTGTGCTTCTTTTCTCCTTCCCTCGTGGCCCGACGAGCGGCAGCTAGTGCGGAGGACTTGGATGCGACCAGGGTGTCGCCGGTGGCAGTCTGAAAGCAAACAAAGTGGCTTGGAACAAGATAGGCTGTCAGTAAGCATTCAGCTTCCATTCAAAATCACAGAACTGTCTGGAAAGAGTTCACACTTGGGAAGTTATATTAGCTTTACCAATGAAAAGTTTAAAGCTGAAAAACAACTTTTCATAGGGAAAGCTAATTTAAACAAGTCTGAACTTTTTTCAAACAATGCTGCGAAAAATTCTAAACATACCATAACAAACTCATATACACGATACCCAAAATTTTCTTAGTAAAATAAACCTCCATTCCTAAATTTCCAATCTTATTGAAACAATCTAGCTAGAAATCGATTACATCTTTCTACCAGTAAGATTTACTACTACTTTACAGATAATTCTCTGTTAACTAAAGTTATGCAATTAACCAAATACCCTTTGATAGCTTGTGTGTAGACCCGAATGATTATTTTAAAGCTAGAATTTCATTTTCAAACTTTTGTATCATTTCTTCTCTGTAAAGATAATCCTTGAGAAACTTTGAAATGCTCCTTTCATACGAGCCCAGCCCTCAGGAGGACAAAGAAGACACTCTAATGCCAGAAGCTGGGGAATTTGCAATTAGTCATGAAGAGCCAAAAATGTTAAAAGTAACAATATTTATCTATATGCCACATACACCAACATTTAATAAGAGAGCTGCATTTAGTTTAAAATATACTAATAGTTGCTAAGTGCTGTCGAGTTGGTTCCGAATCTTAGCGACCCTGTGGTTTGCAGTCCAGTGTTGATTCTTGTTGGGGACTGTGATCACTGAGGTGTTGAGGCCCTGTGTCGTGGATTAAAATCCTACACGATGGCCCCACTAAGGATGGCTAGCCAGGGACTCTGAGGGCCCAAGGAAGTAACCTCCGGACGTCCCGGGTTCATTGGCTTTTATGAACTCACTGTTGGGCTAGCTCTGTATAATTTTCTTTGGTCCTATTATTCATTCTATGCTTCGAACTCCAGTAATTGTAGCTTCTGAGAAAATGGTTTCTTATGTGCCTCTCTTAATGTCTCCACTGTGTTGGCAGTGCGTAAGGTTCTGGGAACAAATCTCTCTGAGGAACAAACTCTGGCCACCTGGCAAGCATGCCAAAACTGTTCTTTATCAAGTTATTCAGTTATGTTTGATATTAACTTAATACATGAGCCCTTAATACCCATGGACAAATATTAAAACAAAAGCTCCTCCTAAAGCCAAGGCTGTAAAAAGTTCCAAATGCAAGTTTGCTGGGAGACTCTGGAAGACAGTCTGCCCAAGGAATTCACTCAAAGTAGATTGGCGAATTCCGGGGTATTGTTCAAGGAACAATAGTGACAGCCTTCTCAAATCATCCCCAGGTGCAAACCATTAACCTAGGTGTCCTCCTTCCTCCTGCAAGCCTAGGCCAGGTAACTTAAACAGCTGGACTCCTTCCAAACCTTTTGAATCCTTTTCACCTTTACCCATTCGAGATTAAGAGCTATAGGTATGTTAATTAGCCTGGAGAAACCTCGAGCTGCTGCCTTGGGATTCGAACCTAAAAAGTAATTTATAACAATTTGCTTGAATTTCTAGAAATTTAAGGATGTTAGATTATCAAGACAATTTGTGATGTATGTTTTAGAATTTGTTCCTATAGATCATTGTGTCCTGTTTTGAACGATTAATCACATTTCACTTCTGTACCCTGTCTTAATAATCCCCTTCTGCCTTTGTGTAAAGCCCCTCCCTGAAATAAAAGGGCGGGGGCGCAGACTGAAGCCTGCATGCATTACTGCTTGTACGGGCCACGATGCCTGTAGTCCAGGGTCTGCCCGCCAGTTTTGCATCCACTCTAGTTTTGGGGTGTCTCTGTCTCTCTCGTTGCGTCTTTGTGTGTACTCTTTTTCTGTCTCTGTTGCCGCCAGATCTCCCTACTTCGTGAACCGAACTCCCCTGTTGAGGCCGGTCCTCGACATACCCTGCAGCACCACATCAGATAGGTAACCCATGAAAAACTATAGAAAGCTCCAGCCACTCCTAGTATCAGCCTGGAGCCTTACTCCATTTATGTCAGTGACGCTAGGGACAACTCGGAACAGTGGTGTGAATGGCTGTGGAACCCGAAGGATGTCATCAAGGTCACTAAGCGGTACATGCAGGAAATGTTTAACTGGGAAATATTCTGCTGTGTATATTCTCCACAACAACAAAATAAATTTGAAGGAAAAAAAAAACAAAACACCTCACAGGCTTCATTGGCAAATTATCTTTAGTTATTACCTGATATGTTATAAAGGTAGATTAAATGATCTGTAATGAGTAAAATAGGAAGAACGCCTACAAGGAATAATAAATTAATGAAAAATGTCCTTCTTACTTGTCACTGAGTCCGTTCCAACTCAGTGACCTTGTGTGAATGGGGCCCTGCCCGGCCCTGCACCATCTTCATGAGAATACATGTGTGTGTATCCATACAGCGTTTATCAGTTCACTTAGATCTGAACTTTGTATAACTATATTCCATACTATTTCTACTCTTCTCTAATTTACTTTTCTTTCTTATACTTATCAATGTGGTTGAATCTCATAACAATATTCATTATGGGCATTTAGATTGTTTATGACCTTTTGCTATTACAAAATACTTCTGAAGTAAACATTAAAACTACTATTTCTTAGCACAAGCAGAGTGTAGTATCCTATCCAGAGAAGCAGCGACACCAGAGATGGAGGCACAGATGATGACATGGCGAGAGGACTCTGGACTCATGGAAAGAGAGGGACTAGGGGCTGGTGGCCAGGAGGTAGGCTTGCAGAATATGGCCTTTGGTTGTTTAAATTATTAT